GTTTTTTAATCTTTTTGGAAACAAGTACTTTCTCTGAATTGGTATTTCTTTGAGACTATACTTGTGTATTTTCTCTTCGTACATAATTTTAATACCTGATTCARCTATTCTTCATATCGTTATTATTACATATCTAAAATGATAAATCATTTTTGGTGATAATACACTCGTTTGTATTCAAATTTGTTTTCTGAGCTTAACTGAAAATAATTCATTAATTGATAAATATCTTTTCATTCTTGGATTTGTAAATCTGTAAACTTGTTTTTACAGATTTTCGTTCATTTCTCTCGATATTTTTTTGAATAATTTGTTTGTATATGTCCCTCCTTAATATCAAATAATGTGATTAATTGCTACATTTTTCTTGATCAATTTTCATCTGATCAATTGTGCTTAATTGCAATATTAATTTTGATCAATCTTTTGTGATCAAATGAACTTAGAATGTAAAACTTTTATGAGGGACCGAGAGCTTAACATAAATACCTCTATCAAATGTCGGAATCGACAACCCTACCTAAGAGGACATCCATATTGAGTGAGCTTACATACAAAATGGGTGTGTGGGTGTAGAACTTAAAATGTAAATGAGAAGGGTAGTTGATGAGAGCTAAAAGAATTAATGATAGTTGTGTCAGGATTAAAAGATTAAAGGAATCTTGATCTATCTACTATAATCGGGGGAACCACACAATTTATTAGTTCTCAATTCTTTCGAGACTAGTATTGAAAAAGGCAAGCCGAGACCAACTCTTGTTAATAACCCCACCAGCTACTTATTTATCTCTCAAAATATAAGTGTTTCATTAACACTTGGGGCACACAGCTCATTATCTATTAGTTATCATTTGGAGATAACTGTATTGAAAAAGAAGGATATATGCCCCCCTCCCCTTCAAGTCTTGTTGATCACAAYTGAGTCTGATAAATTTGTGTAGTCCAAACTGTTTATCTTTTTTAGCCTAATTTGAAGCATTAATTGCTTTATCATTTCTTCACTGCACAAATTTACAAAATATTTGTTATTCTAATATAAAATTCATAGATACGCTTTTCAAAGCTATCAATGATTGAATGGAAGTCCTGGTGAGATGAACATTAAAAAGTTTCATATATGAAGTACGTTCGTTGTATTAAATACATTTGTTATACTCACAAGACAATCTTTATATAAGATTGAAAACAAGTTCATAAGTTAAATCTGGTTCTTTCCCTCACCTTCATAATCTRAAAATATTATATAATCGAATTTGCAAAGATTTGCTTAATTTTTATGAATTGACAACATTCTTACAAGGATCAATCATTTCAGTGTATGATGTAAATGCTCCTCATTTTCATCATAAGGGGCATTTTATATTGAAATTGAATGAATATTTATGCGTCAATTTTTGAAGATCRGGGAAGGTGTCAAAGTTCAAGGGAGTTGATCGGTAATTGCTGATAACCGTTGAAGATTATTCTGATGCAAAGTTCAAAGGGGAGTTAATGAGAAGATTATTTCTGCAATGAGTTTTCTATTTCTTAAAGGGGGAGATTATGAAAATGATAAATCCTTATCAGTTTAAAGGGGAGTTAAAACTTTCTGATGCTGATCAAAGAGGGAGATTGTYTGAAGTTTGTTGTTAAAGAGGAAGATTGTTTTTGTACTAAAAAGTTATTTAAAGGATATTGTTGAAGAGCTAAAGTTGTTAAAGCGTTAAAGTTCAAATATTGAAGAGTTAAATTTTTTGAAGATTGTTGTTGTTTTGGACTTGAATACAAAGGGGGAGATTGTTGGAACAAATATGATGYATTCAAGTCCCTGTGCTTAAACTGTTTTATAATTCATTGTATTGTAGTTTCATTTTATAGAAGGTTAGTTTAGTTTATTTTTTTAATATTGGTATAAATTGCCTGGTGTTAGTTTTGTTAGTTGGCTGTTAATCATAATTGAGAGTTAGATTGAGATTGAGAGAGGTTARTGATCAAGAACATTTGTACTTAAACTTTTACGTAATCAAGTTGGCCGACAGATTCTATTCATCTTATTGTTCTTGATTCTTATTATGAATTGATTGTTAAAGACTTGAATCTGGGATCACACTTTTTAAACTTGTTTTTATCATTTTTACCCATTTTATATATATTTGAGTCATGCATATCTTCTTTGAACTAAATTGTTCCTAAGGAGCAAGAAATAGCTAAAAAGTTCGAATTTTAAACTGGTACACCATTGTGTGCACAACGTCACCACTGTAGCAAAGAATTGSATCATCAATAAATATTTTCTACAGATTGTTACTATTACATTGGGGAAATATGGAGCAGTAATGGACCAAGGTCGGCTCTGAAGTTTTCATGAAAGAACAGGAAATGAAGACAAAGGAGAGAAGACAACTTTAATGAAAAAGACAAACATGTAATGCCCTTTTCTTCTCTCTCAATCCCTTTCATACCTTCTCTCTTCCTTGCCTATTTAAACGCAGCTTGACAATTCATTTAGAGCATGCTTGAACGTGAATTAGTAGCTGAAATGCATCAGTTCGCTCTTGCWATTTTCTTTAGCAAGTCGTAATTTTATTCTCTGCATTTCCATTTCTATTCACCATTATGGCGAGTCTATGGCCATAGTGACGATTTTAGTTTTATGCAATTTAACTCTGAGTACTTCTTTTCTTTCATTATGTTTTTTCTTTAACCATTTAAGCCCGCTTTGGGTGTGAGTGTAAGGYAAACCCGAGAGGYCAAAATCTAACATTTTTGTGTTACCACTTTTTGCTAACTCTTCGGTTTGGTCATTGAAAGCCAATCCTTGTGTGTTGTTAATATTTGATCTTTGACCCCTAGGTCGATTCAAAATACGAATTGAATGATGCAAGGAGGTTGGAGAAAATCTTCAATAATATCAAAGAGATATGGATTTTGCATAATCATACTAAGGTTTAAATGTTAGTCGAGTTGGTGTGTTATAGAGATATGTGTATCTCTCTATATTGGCGAAGCTAAGATCTTTGAGATCTACTTAGTAAGGTTGGGAAAACCGAAAGTTAGCATTTGTGGAAACTTTATGACAACACTGTAATCACAACTTACACGACATAGCTTCAAGAGGAGGAAATCGTGTTTGGGTTTTTTTTTCATCAGTTTTGTCAACCATTTAAGTTACTATCATACTCTTGGGAAATCTTTCACCCATACCCGCATTTTAGTACTTCTCATTTTAAATCATCATTATTCTATAAAACACAATCAATTTTATAAAATCAAATCTTGCACCGGAAGTTTGTGAAAATCTTATATTCTTAGTAAGACCAGTTTTTATGGATATGATTTTTGGTACCTTACCATTATATTACTTGTAAGTGAACTCAATAGTTGACGTATACTTACACCACTATTGTTCYACATTTTACGTGTGTGTATTTTTACTACCAAGTTTTTGGCACTGTTGTAGGGGACTGGCGTAATTTTACATCCTAAGTATTGATTTCCACTTGAGCCCAAGTCACGAGTTTGTTTAGTATTTTTTCTGTGTTGTATGCCACAACAACAACATAGTGAACTTTTTCCTCTAAACTTTGTGGTAAAATGTTAATGTTCCACATGATCAAAGCAGTAGGTTAATTAAAAGGATTCCTTTTGGAAGATCCATATTCATATTTAATTTTTTTAGAAATTGTAGACATCTTTAAAATTCAAGGAGTTTCAAAAGAATCCTTACCGCTAACGCTCTTCACTTTCTCAATAAAAGGATAGAGCTAAAGCTTGGTTAAATTCTYAGCCACCCCATTCTATAGCTACTTGGGTAAATCATGCTGAAACAATTATGAAAAAAAATACTTTCCTTCGACGAGGAATGTAAAACTTAGAAATGCAATTTTACTACTGCAAGAAGGGGACGATGAAGTAGTGTCCGATGCTTGGGAGAGATTCAAGGAACATATTTGTTAAGGTGCCCTCATCATGGTGTTCCCCATCACATCTAATTGG